TGATGCTTAGATTGTCATGTCGTGGTTGGGCAGCGTCACGCTTTACATGCACTGTATTAGATTACCATCATCCTTGCCCACTAACTAAAACAAAAAATCTAGCCTAGCGCGCCGTCATGCTTCATGACGACTATCCTAACACTCTTTGGCCGTGCATCATCTCCATTATTAGAACCAACATCATCAACAACAACAACAACAACAACAACAACAACAACAACAACGACGACGACGACGACGACAACGACGACGACAACAACAACAACAACAACAACAACAACAACAACAACAACAACAGACTCAGGGTTTCCCGAAAACATCTGCCCAACAATCAGCACACCTGTGGCGTCCTTGTATGATTCTAGCTATGGTAAAGGCCTTCAATTTACCATTGACGGCGGCGCGCCTGTTGGTACGGAGATCAAGTGCGCCGGTTATTCCGATGAACCCGACAACCAATACGACAACATCCTCGACAATGCAACGGCGTTTTGGTCCTTATCGACGGGGACCGACCGCTACCGCTACTTTGTACGCTTGCAAGACGCGACCGGCGCGACGCAGACTCTCCAAGAAGCTGGAATCAACGGCACATTTACCCACGGCTGCAGTGCCCGACTGAAGAACTCTGGTGCAGACTGCCCTGTCGTGCTGTCTGATCCAACGTCTACCAACCCCACGTGCTTCCCTGGTTGGGCCGAGGTGATTCTGGAGAGCGGCGAGCGCGTGCAGCTGCGGAACTTGAAGACTGGCGACCGCGTGCTGTGCCTGCAGGCATCGGCCGGCAACGCCCTTGGCTACTGCGAGCTCAAGACCTTCCAGCACGTGGAGCTGAACGGTACCACCACATCTGTCGAGCTGCACTACACGGACAATGACGGCAACCCTGCGCTGATGTCGGCCACACCCGACCACTTTGTGTTCCGCGCAGACGAGGACGTGCACATTGCTGATGGCGTGACGGTGCAGCCAGCAGGCGAGTTCATCTTCACTGGCGACTTTGCTGTTGGCGACCGCCTGCTGCGCTACGATGCCGACCTCGGTGTCGTGTACACAGTCACCATCACCAGCATCACCTCCACCATCGAGCCAGACTACTACACGCCGCTGACGGACGATGGCTCCACACTCTTTGTTGAGGACGTGTTTGCGTCCTCTTTTGCACTTCTGGAGAGCCCCGATGTCATCCGCCTGGTCCTGGCGCCCATCTGGCAGAACGACGACGCACGCTTCACAGAGCCGACGGCAGGCAAGGACTTCCCCGAGGGCCTGCACCCGTTCACGACGCAGCTGTACTCCATCTTCCTCGCGGCAGAGATGAACGGCCAGACGATTGATGTTGAGGGGATGGCCACCGCCATCGCCCAGCAGCTCGCCGTCGGCCACGTCTTCACCCAGGAGGAGATGCTCCAGCTCGTGCCAAACTACATCAGCTGAGGGTGTACGCATGTGTTCGTTTGCTCAATTGCTTACTTTGTGTGTATGTGGTGTGTGTGTGTGTGTGTGTGTGTGTGTGTGTGTGTGTGTGTCTGTGGTCACCTTCCCTCTTGTGCAACAGTCGTACCGTGTGTGATATTCTTTCACAGGAACTTGCCATCACAAAACACGCGCGACAGTCACTCACCCTCACAACTACATGCAGCACTCACCCACGTTGTCCCAGCGAAATGACCATAAACCAAGCTGAAATGTCAATAGTATACGTTCAGTAACACGCCACAACGAACACGCGCTTGCATGCAACACCTGACGTCGTCTCACATCATGTCACCACCATCGTCATCATCGTCATCATCATCAACACCATCACCATCGTCATCACGTGCAGCAGTCGTGTTGTCGTGGCTGCCAAGGCCATGTATCTTCCTCCTGTGTGCCACCAAACTCTGCTGCCAGGCTGTTTTGAAATCACACACATCACACTTGTACTGCCGCCCCTTGGTGTGCAGCTTCACGTGCCTGATCAAGTTGCTGTGCGAGGCTGCTGAATAGTTGCACAGCTCACATTTGAATGGCTTCTCACCAGCGTGCGTGCGCAAGTGTCCCTTGAAATTGTACGACCGCGTTGTGGTGTAGCTGCATTTGTCGCACTCGTACACCTTCTTCGTGCGCTTGTTCGTCGTTGCGTGGTCTGGCTGGGCTGTTTCGGACGCAGCAGGTGCTGAGGTCGCGTCGCTGGACTGCTGTTGCGGGGCCACGTGCGATGTCTTCTGGCCGTCGTGTTGGTTTGCTTGTGGCTGGCGCGCCGCCTGTGGGCACGTGCGACGATTGTGGCCAGGCCGCTGACACAGCGTGCACTTTTTGCTTTGCTGAGGCTGCTCGCTCGGTTGCTGGTCTGCCTTCGGGCAACTTCGACGGTTGTGGCCCACACCATTGCATACAGAGCACTTGACGGGCTGTCGTTGCCGTCGCTGCTGCTGCTGTTCTTGCTGTTTCTGCCGTGGCTGATGTTGCTGTGCATCCACACCTGCTTCTTCTCTGTTGGCTGTACCATCCCCGTCAACTTCCTTGTGCTGGTGCTGGTGCTGGTGCTGGTGCTGGTGCTGGTGCTGTTGTTGTTGTTGTTGTTGTTGTTGTTGTTGTTGTTGTTGTTGTTGTTGTTGTTGTTGTTGTTGTTGCTGCTGCTGCTGCTGGTGTTGTTGTTGTTGTTGTTGTTGTAACCGTGTTCTGCGCCTGAGCGCCTGCTGTCGAATTGATCTTCGCTTCCTGTCAGCATCATTGCGCACCGCTCCTGCCCGCTCGACCTGCTTGCTTCCGAATACCGTTCGCATCAAACCCTGCCGTTGACGCTGCGTCCACTGGCGGCTTGGCTTTATGTGTGCGCGCCGCTCTTGTTGCTGTTGCTGTTGCAGTTGCTGATGCGCGGGTGGGTTGGCTGCATTTGGACAGGTTCGTCGGTTGTGGCCAGGAAGCTTGCACACAGAGCACAAGACGTGCTGTTCCTGCTGCTGCTGCTGCTGCTTATGCTGCTGCTGTAGCTGGTTCTGCTGCTGCTTATGCTGTTGTTTATGCTGCTGTTGCTGTTCCTGCTGTTGATTTTGCTGCTTATGCTGTAGTTGCTGTGCATTCACGCCTGCTTCATCTCTGGTGGCTGTGCCATCCCCGTCACCTTCCTTGTGCTGCTGCTGCAGCTGCAGCAGTCGCGTGCTACGTCGCGTTGCGTGCGGTCGTATGGATGATCGCTGCTGCTGTCTACTTGTGGCATCTGCGTGCACCTGCTGCTGTTCCTGCCCCTTCTCTCCCGCATTCAGGGCCACTGCTGTCGTTGTGGTTGCTGCTTTGGACGATGACGATGACGATGGCAGTGACGAGGATGATGAGCTGGATGAAGGTGCACCATCACTGTGTCGACCATGCGCTGTCTTCTGCAGTTGCTCTGCATGCTGTCGCGCCCACCGCTGGTTCTGCTCTTGCAGTTCTTGCTGCTGTTGTACTCGTTGCTGTTGTGTTGCTCGCTTCCCTCGTCTTCCTCTTGCCTGCTGCTGCTGTTGCTTGCTCTGTTTCTCTAGTGCTCGCTTACGTTGCTCCCCTTCTTCCGCTTCCTCCAGGTTCTGCTGTGCGTGTGATTGTGAGCCGTCATGACCCTGTGCCCCATTGTGCTCGTGTTGTTTATTGTCGCTGTGCTCGTGCTCGTGCTTATGTCTTCGCCTTCGCTTTCGTTTTCGCCTGCGCTTGCGTCTCTCATGCTCCTCTTGCGGCGGTTGCTGCCCTTTCATCTCCTCCTCGTCTTCCTCCTCGTTCTTCTTCTTCTTCTTGTCCTCCATCTTCTGCTTGCGCTTGTGTTTCCGGCTGGCTCGTTCCTTCTCCTCATCCTCAGCTTTCTTCCCCTCCCCTCCTTCCTTCGACACAGGCTCCACTCCATGCTCATCTGCCCTCACCGCTTCCTCTTCTGCGCCATCTTCACCATCATCATCATCGTCGCCATCATTGCCATCGCCACCACCATCGCGTGTCTCTCCACCTCCTTGCTGCTTGTGTACGCGTGGTACCAAACCATGACCACTCCTTTGTTCAACTCCGCCGCCTGCATCCTCTTCAGTGCCGCCCCGATCATCGCTGCCCATGCTGTCGCCGCCATGGCTGCCACGATCATCATCATCATCATCACCACCATAGTTCACACGATCATCGTCGTCACCCCAATCATCACCCCAATCAGCACCACCATCTCCCGTAAGCAACGTTGTATTCTGTCCAGGCATAGACAAGGCTGACATCAGCGTCGCTGCTGGTGCTGTTGCTGGTGTTGTTGCTTGCGCTGTTGCTCGTGAGGTTGTCGATACTGCTGTTGGCGCTGTTGCTTGAACTGTTGATGCGGTTGATGATGCTGTTGCAGGCGACGGTCGTGTGGCCTCTGCCTCATCATCACTGTCATGGAGTGCGCGATGGTGTGCCGCCATCTCGGCACGTGATATCGCCTCAAACCCGCACAGCTTGCACTGCAAGTCGTCTGCGTCGCCCACACCCTCAGCACCTACTTGCTCGCTGTGCTGCAATCCCTTGTCTCCTTCCCCCTGCTGCCGGTGGTGCTGGTGGTGCTGGTGGTGATGTTGTAGCTGCCCCATCGGCGAGGTTGTGGGCGTGTGGCGTTCCGTGAGTTTGTCAATCCATCCCCGAATGGGCGTGCCAAACACATGCAGCGTGGGCGGGTGCTCCTTGTGTTGCGACATCTTCCATGGCGAGATTGTGAATGGAACATGAGCCTGACGCTGTTGTTGTGGTGATGATGGTGATTGTGGTGGTTGTGGTGGTGGTGTTTGCGTTTGTGATGGTTGTGGCGATGGTGTTTGCGCTTCTCCTTCAACGTGCTGTGCGTGGCGCTGCACTGGTCGAGGTCGTGCAATCAACACCGGCCGCCGTGCTGATGCGGGGCGCACCCTGCCACCCGACGTCATCATAAAGCCGAGCGGATAAGAAACAAGCGGCGTCTGCTTTGGCGTCTGCTCTGAGTGTTGACCCGAAGTTACATCTCGCTGTGTTGACGGTGTCGACGATGAGTGTGACAACGGTGGCGCTGCTGCAGCTGTCGAGCGCCGTGATGGTGATGGTGATGGTGATGGAGAGGTGGCGACTGGTGTCCTCTTTGAAGTTGACCAGGCCAAGGGTGATAAAGATGGCGGCGGTCGCTCAACTGTCTTCACGGCCCGGGCAAGCCTTGGCTGCGTCGGTGTTGCCGGCGATCTTGTCTTGCGCCGCAAGTCAGGGGACGTGTGTTGTTGTCGTCTTGTCTGCCTCCTCCCATGAGCCGAGATCCGCGCTGCTCGCTTGAGAGCTTTGACGTCGGCAGCTATCGAAGAGTGTCTCTTGGCCACTTTTGTCGTCGGTGGCAACGCACCGTTGTCATCACTGTCATCATCCTCGTGGTGTGCAGCGTGCTCCTTGCGGCTGCGTTGTCGATCACCGGAAGGCAAGGATGCGACGCGACGCTTCATTGCTGCATGTGTGTGTGTGTGTGTGTGTGTGTGTGTGTGTGTGTGTGTGTGTGTGTGTGTGTGTGTGTGTGTGTGTGTGTGTGTGTGTGTGTGTGTGTGTGTGTGTGTGTGTGTGTGTGTGTGTCTGTGTGTGTCTGTGTGTGTGTCTGTGTTCGGTGGTTGTGGAGAATTGGATGAAATCTTGACAGTTTCTCCAGAGAGCTGAGCGCACAAACCACAACAACCACAACCGCCACTGCCAGCGCACAGGCACTTCGACGCTGCTTCTCTTCTCCCTTCCTGTCTTCCTGTCTTCACAAGAGCTAGTTCTTCGTCCTTTGTCCTCATCCTCCCCATCGCTGCGGTGTGCTGCGGTGTGCTGCGGTGTGCTGCGGTGTGCTGCACAGCGCTTGAGTTCGCGTTTCATGGTTTTACAATCTCAAACACAAAGAGGAACAAGGAGATCGGCTGCCGTGATGACGAGCATGACGAGCATGACGAGCATGATGGCAGTGCTCACGGCCTTCTCCTTGGTAGTGGCAGCAGCAGTAGTGTCCTCTGTTCACGCTGGTGAGCAGGGACAAGCAAAACCGTGCTGCAAATGACGTTCAGTGGGGCGTAAATGTGTTGTGATGCGCCGTGATGTGCAGCGGACGTGCGTTGTTCTTGGTCTTGGCTGGCCGTTGCTTTGTCCCTGTCTTGGTGTGCCATGCTTTCTCTCACTCTTTGATGTCATGTATGACGTGCGTGCATGCACAACTGCTTCTGCCGCAGCAGAGACAGAGTCGCCGGGAACAGAAGATCTCACCGTGAGTTGCGTACCTGCGTGCTTCTATGTGTGTGCATGCGTGTGTTTGCATGATCATATGCTGCAGTGTGTGCGTGTATGCACATGCACGAGCAAGGCAGTGCATGTGGGTTTCTTTGCGCCGTCAGCGAAAGGTTTACTATGGTTTTGGTTTCGCTGAATCCACTCTTGCTTGAATTCACTCACTGTGAGTTTCGTTTGCTGCTCAGGTGATGTGGGATCTGCCACGCTGCATTGAGCCGAGGAAGAAGTTTGTGTACATCAAGACCCACAAGACGGGCTCAAGCACCATTGCCAACATATTTCATCGCTTCGCCAACAAACACGGTGCGCTTGTGCGCGCCTGTGTCATGTCATGTTTGTTTGAGTGTACTGTTTGACATGCAACTACACACACGCACGCATGTGCACACATACACACACATACACACACATTCTGCAAGCGTAGTGTGCACATGACCCTTTGTGCTAGCTCAACCACGGTGCTTGTCGTGCGCGACGTTGCAGGTCTGCATCTTGCACTGCCAAAGGACGATACGTTCTATTCGTGGCCATATTTAGGAAAGACACAGATCCTCAACTCCATTTGGAACTACAACCCGCCGAAGGTTTGCGCGTGTGTGAGTGTGAGTGTGAGTGTGAGTGTGAGTGTGAGTGTGAGTGTGAGTGTGAGTGTGAGGGTGTGAGTGCGTGAGTGTGAGGGTGAGAGAGTGTGTGTGTGTGTGAGGGTGAGAGAGAGTGTGTGTATGTGTGTGTGTGTGTGTGCCTCGGGCGTGATGTGTTTGTTCATTTGTTCATTTGTTCATTTGTTCTGTTTTGCGCTCTCCGTGCTTCCATCTCGCCCTTTGCTCTCTTCACCAGACATACGATGGTCTCTGCAGCGCGCACGTGCGGTGCGTATGCTGGCATTGCATTCTAGTTTGCTCATGTTTCCCTTAGTCCACGCGTGCGTTCATGTTTCGGTGGGATTTGGTGTATGCCCCAGTTCACATTTTCATCTACTCGGTGCACGATCACCACCGCCATCACGATAAATTGTCACTTCCATCCTTGTCGCCACCACCACTTGACAACAATGCCATGATCATCCGTGTCGTCATCGCCTCGCGCCTCTCACCTCATCACATATCACTGCGCACCACACCACACAACACGCGCCCCCTCCCACCCCATCATCGCTTCCACCACGACCATTCACCACTGCTGCCAGCTACTCGCCCGAGGCACTGGGTACGCTCGTGCCCAACGCGGCGTATGTGACGGTGCTGCGCTCGCCAATCACCCACGCCAAGTCGTCGTGGTCGTATTGGGGGTTTGCAAAAAACATCATCTCACGTGCGTAGACAGGAGGAGAGAAGAGAAGGCAAGGGGATGGTGGTGTTGTGATGAGATGATATTGGCGTTGTGAGTTAAGTGCCTCGTTCTCTCCCCTTGTGTGTGTGTGTGTGTGCGTGTGTGTGTGTGCGTGTGTGTGTGAGTGCGTGTGTGTGTGTGTGTGTTTGCTTTCTTCTCTCATCCTCTTTCACTCACCCACACACGCACACACACACACACACTCTCTCTCTCTCTCTATGTGTCACACACACACACACACTCTCTCGCTCGCTCACTCGCTCACTCATGCACACACACTCTCTCACTCACTCACACTTACTATCGGGCTGTGCTCTGTGTTGTTGTTGCATCAGACGGGGGCCCATCGCTGACACTGGACGAATTCATGGAGGATCCTGACAAATACTTCCGATTCGCAGAACGCACACTCCTCCAAAACTCACAGGTTGGGCGTTGTGTTTGTGTGTGTGTGTGTGTATGTGTGCTGTTGCTGCTGCGTACTCTCCCGATGTATGGCCACACACACACACACACACACACACACACACACACACACACACACACACACACACACACACACATACAAAAACCCACAGGCATTTGAACTGGGGCAGAAGAAGAAGACGTCCAAGTCACAGTCTGATGATTTGGTTAACACGCTCTAAAAGAAATTCTTCCTCCTCATCACCGACCACTTGGGTACTACACTCACACAAACATACTCAAAGCATCACACATGTACATTCAAGCTTGCACCAGAACAAGCAAAGACACAGTAGAAAAAAAAAAAACAGACTTAAGAATAATAGGTTTGTGGGGTCGTAGCGATG